ATGATGTATATACAATGATAGGCAATGCCGTAGCCAGCTATTGGGACGGTAGGGACAGTTCCACAGAATTTTTCTAATGGGTTCATAAAGAATGGGTCCACATTTTAAAAAATGAGTCCAAATTATGCAATTTCATGCATAAAATGAGTCCACTTTTTGAAAAATGAGTCTAGATTTCTCATATTTAGCCTAAAATGGGTAAAATTTTCGGAAAATGGGTCCAGATTTGTCATATTTGTTTTGTAAAATTGGTCAACTTTTAAGAAAATGGGTCCACATTATTTGAATTTACGAGTAAAGTGGGTCGACCGGTCCACCCTGATATTGTCCCGTACTGTTTGAAAATTTTGGCTACGGCTTTGATGATAGGTCTATATCTTGTAAGCTGGCTTGAGAAGAGCCGGTTGAGGTGACCACGTACAGTTACGGCTCACATGCTACTGCGTCAGCAGACGTGTCTGCTGACTATACGCCAGCCAATCACAGGACGGGGAGCTCAGTACGTTTGCATTAAATCACCTCAAGAGGGGATGAATGTGGTCTCAGCTAAACCTTGACGTGATCACACATCTAATGATGGAATTGAATTTTTAAAAATTTGATCACGAATTCTATACATTAATTTTGAGTTTTTTTAATTGTTTATTTGTTCGGGTACTGCCTTAGCTACTTTATATTAATGCGTTTACTCAATGAGGCGAATTTCTTTTAATTACTAAATTATAGTTTTACTTTTTGTTGCCATCCATTAGGCGTGGGCTTTACTTTAACCGTCAGTGCAGAAGAAACCCACGTGGTAGACTGATAAATATTGAAATGACGATAGGGATGATGATGATGAGTACGATGATAATGTTATTGAAGTATTGTGCAATGACAACAAGGAGAAGTTATCTATTATAGCATTAAGCATGGTTACTGTATTAATATTGCTTAGTACCATAATCGTATGCTGACTGACCCAGTGTGCAGTTCATTAACATGGTGATATTGATGATGATTAGGCCTATGATAATGATGTTGATGGTATTATTAATAATGATAATCATGCTGAAGATTCTGTAGGTGATATTATGCTGATGAATATTGCAGTGTCGTTGCTAAAATATTTTGTTCTTAATCACCAGCAAAAATGGAATAATAACAAAAAAATAGTTTCAATATTTAAATTACACCCTGGTGCTGTATAGGTGTATACTGCAACTGCATTTTATCATATTCATATTAGGGCCATTACTAAATGGAAAACACTAGATGGGCTCGTAGCCTATGCTGATTAGGTTTCGCTACGCGTCGGCCAGTACGCGACCTGCATGTAGGAAAAACGTTTTTTATGACGTCATTCAAAGGCATTTATTATCGATTTGGCAATAGCGGTGTTTAACTAAAGATTTCCTGTACTCTGTGGGTACTGAATGGCAAAGAGTCGATTATGCTTCACCTTGAATAGACCACAATAATTAATAGTACAATGTAAAGAAAATATGTTACGAATATGTTTTTGATGATATTAATAATACAACAATAATAATACTTTACTGTTGTTGGTTGAATAATAAACAAAGCTAGTGTTTTTTGCTTGTCGGTTATTCACTTTCATCTCGACAGCCCCACTGATTGATTTCATAATGTGATAGTAAGCAGATCACTGAAAACCCCAAAATAATGTCTTGGAGTGGATGGAGAAGCATCTATAAATTCCTTTCAAGAACGTCCTCTCAAGTTGTATCTAAATAAAATGAATCCGTCAAATTACAACTAAAAATTATTCATTGTCTTATTACCTTAATGGATATAGCCTAGAATGGTTGCTTGTATTTGAATAATTTACACAGACACATCTTATGAAACCACAGAGAAATATATTAATATTTAATTCCATATACAATAGTATGTGACAATTCTATAGACGTTTTTTAACTAATTTGATTTATATAAAAAGTGTTTATTAGTAAAATATTTACAACCTTCACCCAAATAAATTTATAATTTTCAAGGTGCATTTTATAAGAAGTGAACAGGTATAAGATTTAAAAAGAAAAAGTCTATAAATACAATTGATACCTTAAAAATGCAAAGAGCAAAACAACAAAATTACAACATCTCCCTGAACGCATGTCCTGACTTCTAAATCATAAATTGGCTTTAAAATATATAATTTAGCTTATTGTATAATATGTGTTAATTGCTGTATTGCTACATCCCCGTAGTTAAGTGTTATTCAGTCAGGGTCCTCTGGACATTTTAAAATAGGAATACAGTACTATTCTCAGGCGTCGAAAATAGAAGACCGATTAAACAACAAAAAAAATATAATGTCGACAAGCGACTAAAACTTTGCATGGGCATAATTCCAGTGACATTAAACTTGTCTTATTACCTCACTTACCGAATAGGAAAAAAAAAATAATTGGATTAGCGTTTTTAATCAACAACGTTATTAATATATGGTAATATTAATGGAAATTGTTATGGAACTAGTAGAGTGCATATAATGGTCTCTATCCCAACCATAAATAACAATCTTACTAATGTACAAGAGAATAAATGTAAAATGCGTTGTAAATTACATGTTGTGGCATAACCTAATCAATAGGCCCTACATTTGGATTGCTGTGAAATATGGCTAATTACAAAAAATATTTTCTATATACACTATTAAATATTAAAAGAATATTCAATATTTAAGTTTATGAAAATAAAAATATGTGAAATATAATTCTCATTTTCAATCAACACACAATTTCTTCTACGACGTACAGCTGCCGTTTGAAAAATTAGTGAGCATGCGCCGGAATCGATGATAGCTTCGTATCCAGGAAGCTCCGAATCTTGCCGAATCTCGATGAATTATGGCGACCAATTCTGTTTTTGTGTCTGCTAGGCTAGTACCCTCTTTATGCATCAGAGATACTTGTGCAATAAACCGAATCTTCCTATCATAACATGTAACCGCACGGTACATCTACGGGGAAGAGAACAGATTGAAATTATTAAATAGCCTTAAATCGATATAGGCCTATCATTATATTTTACAAAATAATAAGAATAATTTAACATAATACAGCTGTTATTAAAAGAGCACTTGTGATGATACACATTATTTTCTCTTAAAATATCATTCATTCATTCATTCGTTCGTTCGTTCGTTCATTCTCCATAAACGCCCCTGATTGGAGGAAAGCGTTTATTACTCAAATAAACGCCCCCTTAATTTCGGGTGTCTATAAAACGAAGACCGAAGACCCAAAAACGAAGACCCCTATTTTTTCTCTTTTATTTTGATGATAATACACCAGGCTGTCACAAAATAAAAATTGTAAATTTTTTTGGGCGTTTGTTTGTGAAATTTTCAAGGGTCTTTGTTTTATAGACACCCTATATGGGTGTCTACAAAACGAAGACCGAAGACCCGAAAAACGAAGACCTCCAGTTATTTCTCAATTATCTTATTGAAAGTATCATAAAAAAGTGCCAAGTACCTATTTCATTATTTTATAGGAATAAAATGAGGAATATCAAGAAATACTTAAGGGTCTTCGTTTTATAGACACCCTATATGGGTGTCTACAAAACGAAGACCGAAGACCAGAAAAACGAAGACCCACATTTTTTCTCTCAATCGTGATGAAAATAATGTTTTTAAATCACTTCATGCTATGCATATATAGTATTCGTCTTCTTAGCACATTGTTGCCTGAATCTGAGTCAATTTAATGATTTACTCTTTATTCCAGTTCCAAAGCGGCAAACAATGTTGTATGTCCACGGCTGGTGACTGAGCACGTCTTGGCGCTGCTACCTTCTAAAGGAAAGTAATTGGCTTGGCCTAGCGGTACGCATTTTGGGGCCTACAAAAACCTTGAATATTTCATTCATAAACTTGTTCCATGTTAAAATAAACAGTATGGAATGTGGTATAGTGATCGTGATAAAATAATGAAATACTTTCAATAAGATAATTAAGAAATAATTGGTCTTCTTTTTCGGGTCTTCGGTCTTCGTTTTGTAAACACCCATATAGGATGTCTATAAAACGAAGACCCTTGAACATTTCACAAACAGGCGCCCAAAAAATGTCGTAATTTTGATTTTGTGACAGCCTGGCGTATTATCATCAAAATGAAAGAGAAAAAATAGGGGTCTACATTTTTGGGTCTTCGGTCTTCGTTTTATAGACATCCCCTTAATTTCACTGTAAATGTGGAACTAAAACACATAATTATGGAGAAGTAAATTGACACTTGTCCGCAAGTCACCAAACCATGTCGACACGTTATATACTTTAAAGTGGGCCATTAGCCTAAGCTTTTAAGAAAAAATGTAATTCTACTGGAGTAGTACATTTATAGAATGTGTTGAGAATGATGTTGCTTCCATTAGATTTATTTACTGTCATTTAAGAAGGAGTTTATTCGAGAGAAAAAAGTAAACGCCATCGGTAGGGGGGGGGGGAACCAAATTTCTCGATGGCCTACAAGTCTCACAAATTTAATGCTGACTATTGGAGGGATGTCCTTGATGGTTTAGGATCTGCAATGGTCTAGCGGTATGGCACTCGCCTTCACAGGTTGTAGGTTTGTATTCTAGTTCCAAGACGGCCACTTAATTATATGTTTACATTTTAAGCTTTCCCACTGGTCTTATGTTTGAATTTAAAATGCATCTGTTGCCAGTAAAGAACTGTATTTAATTAGGCCTATATGCAATGTATTTCTTTGACATTAAATGAGCCACAATTCTGAGACTTAAAAAAAGTACAGCAAAATATGAGACTGAGTTATCTATCTGTATGGACATCAAAATGTCACACTTACACAGACAATTAAACGAAAACGATGTTTATAATTAATAAAATACTTACATTGTAGCATGGACAGGAGAGAAAACAACAGGGAAAACATAAAAGCCACATCAGAATATTGTCACGTGACCCAGTACAATGTTCTGGTAACTCATAGTGGTTTGTTATTACTATTCGTCCATTTTTTGATTCCGTTTTCGAGTACCATTCGTATTCTTGTAGACCCTGTTGTACCAGAAACGTGTTGAGCCAATCCTTGAGAAGCGGTCCAAAGTCAAGCTAGCAGAGACGAAACGATGAAACAGTATAGAATTAGTTATGTGCAACCAAAATAAAAACTAATATAAACATGATGACAAATCACAATATTTAAAGTTGGCATGGGGATAGAGTCTATAGCCACCTGTGCCCAACTATGGTTGGGGTTGAGGTCAGAAAATTAATTTTTGAAAATATGGCACCTCTGAATGCCTGGAACAAGCAGGTAAAAAACCTGTAGAGCCTCTACCCCTCCCCATCCGATTGTACATTGGCAGACATGAGATTTAAAGTTAGTGAGGAGTACAGTTTATACCCACCTCAGCCTCCCTCCCACACCCTTCTTCGACTACCACCCCAACATTTCCGAATCTAGAAATCAGGGCCAAAAAATGTTATTTAGAAAAAAGAATTATTTACAGTTTGTTACTACTGTATTTTAATGAAGTAATCCATTAGTACCCTGTAGGATACCATTCTGGTATTTCTGAGATTCGGAGTCGAAATATTGATTACTAATGTGTAATTATACAGGTACAAATTATTGTCATAAAAATACGTAATACTATATATCGATACTGTATATATTGTACTTTTATTGAATTTCAATTTCGTAGCCTGAATATAGGATTATATAATCGAGTGGCCAAGCGGTAAGGCAGGGGCGCCGCTACCTATACAGCCTTAACATCGATGCTGGTTCGAGCCGCTCTTCCTGCAGGGTCTGGTGGGGGAGTCTTCTAGGATAAGGACTTTAAATGGAGGTCAGTGTAACACACCGGGCTCATGAGCAATTTAATGAACCGGTTGCATCTTTCGGAAGAGTAGGGCGTACCCCGATGCTTGTGGTTCATTTCAGTTTTTGTGGAATGTGAATATGTAGCTCTTTACGTCGTCTGTAGTCACGGACCATGCCCTGGACGCTGGAGTTATGGGCATCTTATTCTTACCGGTATGACTCAAGATAACATTAGGCATTTTTTACAAGAGAAATATTAAAGGCTTTTGTACATAATGATAATAAGAATGGGCCCAGAAAAGCAACCAGGTTAAAAATGCTATATCCGGACAAAGAAGAAGGTAGTAGCATGACTCAAAACAATGAAAGCACAATTCGTAGGCCAATTTTAAATTTAATAAAACAAATGAAGGTATATTGCGAAAAAATAAATTGTTTAAAATGTTATTTCTTATCAGTGCCATAATTAGATGATGAGTTGCTTATTCCTCCATGAAAAAATACGGAACAGTGCAAGAAACACGAACACTATTATACAATAAATAATAACAGTGAATTACATTTACACAACGTGCAGGGTATTGTGATATGCAACATACAATTAAATAAAACATGTATGAATACACAGGATGCAATATGCTATATGCTATGCAGTATATTTCGAAAGAAGCCTACAAATAATAATGAATACGGTAGAGTTTCGAATAGCATACTGCTGGCACAATTTTAATTTCACTTAGGCCTACTTCCCACATTTGGCCTGAAGCATTAATAAATTATTTATCACGCTTTAGATACTTGTACTATCACTTGAATTGTTAAAAATGTTTTAATTAGGTGCTGTGTTTGCTTAATTTGAAAAACTCAAAATTGTATAGTTATTCTAAAAAGTGCTGTAATTTCTTATACTGTTCTACAGCAGACTGACGCGGCTACCTTTTATTAATCATGACTAATTTTAGATAATTCTTGGTTTATTTATGGCAAACAGACCACGTAGGTATACCTCCATGGACAGGTCTACCAGATAAAGACAAGCCTACCTAATAGAGCACTAAGATTCAAGATAATATTAAAATGTGGTTAATTTTACAGGTATCCAGAGGTCATATGTGGAAACTTTGTTTACCCAGAAAAAAATCTGAAATAATTATGATGATGATGGTGAAGATGATGATGATGATGATAATGATGATGATGATGATGATGAGATAATGATAACGATGACGGTGATAATGACGATGACGGTGATATTAATGATGATGATTATGATCATGACAATAATAATGATGTCGATAACGATGATAATGGTGATGATGATGGCACGATGATGGTAATGATGTTGACATAGGGGCCTAGTAGTCCAAGCTGGAATCAAGGGGAAAGAGCCCCCGTTCAGAGTACAGGGACAAAAGCCCAGAAAAAAAAAATCAGCAGTTTTGATTTGGTATAGACTAATTTACTGGTTTCTATACAGTCTTTGTTTCTCTCTTATATTTAGTTTTATAATATTAATACTTCCAGGAAGCAAATGGTCCTCCGATTGCGGGCAAAAATTCGGTGGTTCTGGTTGTAGCGTATAATCTATGGCATGTTTGGAATTGATATTTAATCTAGTTATCGTTGCTTTACATCGCACAGGAATCGTTGAATTTCTCACCCCCTTACTTAACCCTTATTAAACATTGTCTAAATAAATCTTATTTACTAAAAAAGGATTTTGAAATAAGTTGAAATGTATGCAATACATGCAATACAGAATCAAAGGGCATGGTGGATTTTTGGTTAAATATATTACATTAAATTGACACTGTGATATGAACATAAATAATAAATTCATAATTTATAGATATCTGTATAATTTATATTTATTTTGAAAAGTAAGATAATTGAGAAAAAGTGATCCAGCCAAAGCCAGTGCGGACTGTGAGGTTCCGAATGCCCTGTACCTTCTTCAGAAGCTACTAGTAGGCCTACTCACCGTAAGAACAAACTTTCGTCCCACTTTTGCACATGATTTAGCTTCTTCGAAAGCATTCGCTAGCTGTTGTTTAATTCGTTCATGCTGTGTATTCACAATAACTGCAAAGTCATCTAATAATTCAGGTATTAGATAAATAAATTAATTTAATGAAAGAATATTAACAATCGACATATATTCATTAGGCCATGCTTATCCGCATATTAAGTAAACTATAAACACAATGTTCAGGACTGGAGCAATGTTAATGCAGTTTTCGATATATACCAAATTAAGTTTCGACCTTCTAGGCTATGACATATATTCATTTTTTTTAAAAAAGCTTTTGAATATTCTGTATTATAAATAAGGCCTATGTCTTATTAATTATTGTTATTACTCTTTCAGACTGAAATCGTCTTTAAGTTGATTGTTAGAATTTAAAACAATGATATAATACTTATTAAGCTTATAATTGTCGTCATTCGAGTTTTTTTTTTTTTTAAATCACAACAACGTATAACGTATGAGGCCGTATGTAAATCAGCTACCTTCCATTAATTATAATTATATGGGCACAGTATATTATGTCAGTTTAATGTCCAAAAAACAACCTTAAACCATGGCTTAAACACAGTTTTCATATGTACTTTAGGCGGAGCCAATTATGTAAATTTTGACATTACGTGTACAGTACTTAAAAACATACTTCATAATACAGTTATAACAACTGAATAGCGTGTACTGTTGCTAATAGTGCATACCATGAATAATGACCACCGTGTTAGTGTTGTACTTGGTTTTCTGTCTCAGTCGGATGTCTAGTAATATTGGCCTGTTGCACAAAGTCCGAGAAATAGCTTCCAAGGCCGACTCGGTTAAAACAGGGAAGAACCTTTAAGAGAAAATAATTGATGAAAATAATTTTTAGTTTATAATTAAGTTGCTTGTAAAAAGGCATATACAGTATATAAGCATTATTGGCCTAATAATCACGAACATTAACTCGTACAATACAAACAAGTTTTTTCAAGAGTTATTGGAGAAGATTATAACATATGAAATAGGGTCTAGGTCAAATGCATGTTGTAAAATTATGAAATTTAAAATGATCAAAAACTTTATCAACTTTCAACAAGACAAAGATTGAAACAATTTAGTTTTAATTGACTTACAGACTACAACAATAACACCAAAAACAAAGACAAATACGAATGTGCCACCAGTTATGTGGTGAGTTTATATTTATTTGAAATAGAACATTTTCAAGGAAGGTCAATGGATGGGGGCCCTACAAACTTTTCAAGCAATGAGACGTTTAAAATGATCTTATTTCAATAAGGCTTTTGGGGGAGTAGTACAGTGGAATACAGGTTTAATAACTATCCACATTTTGTTTCTCTATTTCTTTGCTGGTCTTGAGCTTCGTTCTCTTTCTGTGACTCGGTCACATTTCACCCTTTGATGGCAACAGCATGCCTGTTTTCCGTGCGCTGTAACCATAGATATCTCTTGGTCTCCTGTTCAATTACCATCACTGCTTTTCTCGCGCTTCAGTCGGAGGGGGATAAATGCAAGTTTTAAAAGCGCATTGTCTTCGGATGAGCGTCCACGTTAAAAAGAAAGCAGTACACGCCTCTAAAGAATGCGAAGGGATTGTCTCCCGGTGTACTGTCCAATCACCAACAGAAGGACCCAATACTCAACATAAGTAGGTTATCCCCGTGTTTACACCAAATAAATCAAATTCAATCTAACGTTGTTAAACTAAATTTAAACTATAATTCCCTACAGTAGCTTTCAGAAAAGAGATCTTGTACGCATTATTGTTTAGTTTTGACGTTTAAATTCGAAACTATTCCCGAAAGAATAGAGGTTGGGTCATCAAAGTTGACAAGCTATGTGTGTCTATCGCCATATCAACAAGTTTGAATATCGGGGTTCTAAGGAATAATCCACGAACTAAAAGCGCAAAAGCTTTTTAGTAGGCGTATAGCTGGCGAGATCACTTGGCGTCTTATGTCTAGGCGAGGTTTATAGAATTTGTTGCTTTTTAAGGGCTCTACAAATACACTCAACTATTTATTAATTCCCATTAAGGTATAGGTCTACATTGAATACGTATCAAATTCACTAATAATCTGAAATATCATTGGCCTTCTGATAACAAATATTTCAAACAACACTGTGCATGGCATGTTACATTAGCGTAACAATTACAAATGCGGCAAAGACAAGCCAAACCAGTCACTCGTCGCAAATCATGTTTTAGAGAAAATGACCAAAACATGATGGAATGCCAAATTTAAAAAAAATCTATTTTATTGATACAGTTCTCCGTTCCTGTCTATCCGATTTATGTGTTTCTCAATTTAAATGTCAGTGTGAATTTAAATAAATAATAATAATAATAATAATAATGATGGTCATCATCATCATACTGTATTAATAATAAGTCTCTTTATTTCTTGAAAAAACCTCGTTTATCAACTGCTATAATCGCATAAAACGCTTTAATGTAATTCACTGTAAGTCTGTTTTTCATAACCATTGATATACGTATCAGGTGCTGTGGATTTCCAACATGTTATTAATTAAGCAACTAAAAATTCAAAAGCTTGGATGTAATGATGTTATTGATTTATTTATCAGCACACTGCAAAACAGATGATTTTATTCAACTAAATTAGTAACCAAAAATTAGTAACCAAATTAATAATGTCTATTGTACCGAATATCCAACGTACCGTAAAGTATGGTTATTTTATTATCTTATATCCGCTTAGTCATGCGCGGACACAGGACTAGAAGTATTATTTAATCAGAAAACAGACGTTAAGCAAAACATTGCATGTAGAATTATGGATCTTTCAGGAAAAAACTATTTTTTTCAAGAAAAAAAATATTTTTCGAAAACGGAAATATTGATATTTGGCAGACATCCAACGCGCACTGAAGCAACATAAAAATATTTATCAAATTAGCAACACAATGTCATGACATGAAACTAAACCAATACATTTCCATGATAGACCTATATATGAATATTTTTTTCAAAGATGGGATTGGGATGTAGGTCAACAACTCCTGTCGAAACCTAGATTGCGAATGTAAGATTTTGACTCGATCTTTTGACGGGCAAACCCATGCCTAGTTTATTCTTAAATATCTATCTTATGTAAAAAGTATAGGCTACTTCATAACATGAGAAATGTCATTCGTCAATAATTCGCTTTCTTTATGACCTGGTTTACACATACCGTAGTTGTCAATAATTTACCAACTTGACATTCTCGGCAAATTGGAACTGAGAGGAAACTGTATAGGCCTATTTACTAACTATACTTGCATTGTGGACTATGGAGATGAACCTTCAGAACTGTTGTAATGTAAATGTAAAGTTTTTTTTTTTAAATTTTATTTTTCCTGTTTTTCAATATGATTTGTGTCCTGAATACTGTCAGCGCAATGAGACAACTTTATTGCGAAAGACGCTCTAGACTCGTACCATTACCGTTACTTGCCATTAAAAAGCCGAATGTACCCATCACTCAACACAATGCATAATGTAGAAGTGGGCCATACTTGCATAGTCTTGAGAAAAGGAACACTATCAACCTAATTTGTTGTATGCATTATTTTAATAAGTAATCTTTTCAGACATGCAGCCATATGGTCGATCAATTTCAAAACATTAAAAAATGTCACCTAAGAGTAGAAAGCCGACTAAATGTTATAAAAACTAACTTGTTCATAGTAATTAAGCAGCTATACTAATACTAGAAAAGAAAAAAAATCTTTGTTTAGGCACACAGAAGTTTCCAATAGCTAATATATAAGCCAAATACACACACGATGCTTGACACAAGCAAAATTCAAGACGGGTTGAGTTGTTTTGGTCGTGAGGAAATTCCTGCGACACTGACAGGAATTGAACAGAGGACCCTGGGATTGGAAGGCAAGCTCTTAACCTTGAATTTGAAACTCCACTCAAAACTAAATTATGATAATGTCATATATGCTCTAAAAATGGTTGTGGGATAAATATGTCATAGTTTAAAAGTACTGTTGTACTACTCCATGAACTTGAGCGTTGCACGTTCCTTCGTATGGTGATCCTTCAAGTCTGCAATGAATTGTAACTGTAGGCGACAAAACCCTATTTTTCAGTACGTATACTGCAATTAAAAAATAATTTTTACTAGAATTTATTTGCCATAGACACATTTTTAAAATTTATTAAAGGGTTTGAAAACTTACAATAGTAAAATCCGAGTGACATATTTTGCATTCTCAAAGACCACTACTACGTCCTACTACTACTACTAATACGAGGGTATTGGAAGAGCACGAAGATAATGTACGGTATAGGCAGCAGTTTTTACATTTGTATCTGTGTTTGTGGCACTTGGTAGTACTGGTAGAATTATGCACAAACTGCCGTTGATTGTGTACCAAGTTATCATTAAGTTCAACAATAATAATTTTATGAGACCAACAAATGATCGTATTCTGGTGTTGGCGACCTGCAAGTTTTGATAATGAGAGCGTTGGAGAGACGCAGGAAGGACTGTACCGGTACTCATTGACTGGCCTATCTACATGCTCGTGTCACTGGGTCAGACAACAGCAGAAAGTGAACGCTGGTAAATTATATTAAAAAAACGTTAACCTGAAAGAAAGCAAATGAAACGCGTACTGTACTTTAGTTACAATTCAGATAACTACAGTATTTACACGGAGTTTCTTTCAACAAGGAAGACTGCATACTCAATTTAACATAGCTTCTTAATTCACCAATTTTATGTAAATCTGTACGTTTGTGTTTTGTGGCACCTCAACTTACAGAAACTTGTAAAAAGTTATTCCACATCATCAGAATACAGTATGAACATGTCAACTTTAATTATTACACATTCACATTCACGCATGCAGATTGACAGGCATATATCAGTTTGTTATAAAAATAATAATGCATATAGGGGGATGAACATTACCACACTACCATAAATCACCACTACCACCACCATAAAATCTATCACTACCATAAAAACTACCATATAGGTATATACCTATTGTTAACTAATAATAATACACCTATAATATAATGTACAAATGAGGATTCAATTCAATGTAATTCTTATTATTACAAGCCGAACATAACGAAATGAGGCCAGCATAGCACAACGAAACAAAATGCAATGTCCGGAGAACAATAGGCAACGAGCTTATTCGTATCCATCTATAGTACATCTAATTTAATTGCCGGTTACGTCTGTAATGAAAAACGTTCTTTAGTTTTTATGTCTACATCAATATGTAGACATATTCATCTATAATTATAGATTATCATAATAATGGTTCACGTTGATTGTTAATAGAATTTCATCATTCTTAATAAATGTCACGCACGCAGGTGTTGCTTCATTTGCTAAGCATTGAATTGGGGAAGCTCTATACTGAACCCTATGTTCTACAATAATATTGTTCAGTATGACATGGTGAAACAAATATATATGTAGATTACTGTACATGCTGTGTCAGTTAGTATGAATCAAACCTGCATACATGCCTTATACCATAACTTTATTTTTTATAGAAGCATGACAGGTATATGGTTTGGTGAGTACCGTAGTAAGAACCAATTCCACAACTCAGAGGCGAACTTTATTCATTGGTGAGTACCGTAGTAAGAACCATTACCACAACTCCATAGGGGCTGAACTTTATTCATTAGTGAGTACCGTAGTAAGAACCATTACCACAATTCCATAGAGGCGAACTTTATTCATTGGTGAGTACCAATGTTGAATATGTTGTTTGTACATTGAAAATTAAATCAATAATGGCAGATGAATATCTATATTGCATTGAGATCTAATGACGTTTTCGAGTGTCGTACAATTAGGATGCAGAATATTACGGTATATTGCGACTTATGTTTGTATTGTGAAAGGGATTGCACCCAGTGATTAAAGTACTGTATATGTTCGCAACTAATGGCCCATCAAATTATAACAAATAAATAGAAATTGGACGATTTAACAATATATTTATCACATGTTAACTGTTCTACATGAAAATATTGAATTCATAATACCACATGCGGCCTGAGGCTGGTAAGGCAAGACAGCTCATGACCGACGCTGCGCGTCTTAGACTGCGGTGGTGGACCTGTCCTGTCATTCGACACTATTTCTAACCCTCCTGCTTTACAGTACTCCTACACTTTTGGAGTGCTTTGGAGGTCGATCTTTACCCACCAGAACCATGAACCAGAACAGACCAATATACGAATAATACAAATTGTCTATTTATGGTTGCTTTTATGAAACCAATTGTTGATGAACGCATTAAAAAAGAAAACAATGAAACATATTAGGCCTATATGAATTTCAACAATTTTGAGTATTATAATTTGAAATATTTCTTATTTTAATACATTTTTTAAATTTGAAGTGAGAAGAAAATAAATTTTCGGGGTCTTTTGGAATTTAAACAATCCTGGTAGATTTTAGGCGCATTGTTTTTTGTTTTTTTTTGTTTTTTTTTTTTTTATAGTTACACATTAATTTGCAGACCGTTTTAATCATAATTATCCCTCCGGCGTTATATTTGGGTAATATTTTACGATCTGGTGTTTGTCGTGGTCTTTACGATCCGGGATAAACGTATGCTTCTATTAAGTAATAGCACACAATGACCTTAGCCTTATAAATGTATTGAATTGAACTTTTACTGCAAATCATAAAACTAAATGAATATTGATATTATTACCGGTACTGCATCTATATAAGAGAACAAATATACTAGGTGAACATAAAAGCTATAGGCCGACTATACTATTACTAAATATGGCTTAAAATATAATTCCATTGGCGGATCTGAGGGGGGTCAGGGGGTTCCTGACCACCCCCCCCCCCCCACACTATTGGACAAAATAATAATTTAAAAAAAAAAATTCTCTGTGTACCGGTACACACATTGCCCTATTTACTATAATAAGAATGAGAAAAAAATACCTGACTGTTTACAAAAGGGGAAAACCTTGAATTTTGATTAAAAGACACCTCAGAAGTCGGCAAAACTCATTTCTCGCCATCTAAAATTTTCCCCGGGAGGACCCCCGACCCCCGTTTTATTTAGGGTTCATCGATTTATTGAAAACAGAATATGTATGCAGCGACTCAATTTTTGTTATGTACACACACATACAGTACAGTAGTAGGGCTACTAGTACTGTAGGCCTAGGCCTATTTACAGTAATAAGAATGAGAATTTTACCTGACCGTTTTCAAGCAGATGAAAACCTTTTAATTTAAAGACCTTAAAAGTCATTAAAAGACACCTCAGAAGTCGGGAAAGCTCATTTCCTGTCATCTAGTGATCAAATATTCCCGGGGGAGGACCTCCGGATCCTCTTCCTCTTTGGGGTTATCCATTGATGGAAAAAGTATACGTAAGCAATTCAATTTTTTTTATGTACGTTATACACACATAAATAGGCCTATTTACCCTACGTTCATCTGATCTCAATTTAATTTCTGTCCCTCGCACCAACACTAAGACCTTCGGACACAGATCATTTTCATTTGCTGCAGCCACACTCTGGAACGCACTACCACTTCACATTAAAAAATCAACATCAATTCCTTTATTTGAAAAATCACTCAAAACGCACTTATTCCAACAATAACATGAAGCGCCACTGATAATTACTTCGGTTTTTTAAATGGCGCTATATAAGTTCTTACCTTATTATTATTATTATTATTAATAAGAATGAGAAAGTTTACCTGACCGTTTTCAAGAGGGAAAACCTTGAATTTTGAAGAACTTTAAAGTCATTAAAAGACACCTCAGAAGTCTGGAAACTCATTTCCCGCCATCTAAGAATCAAAATTTTCCCGGGGGAGGACCCCCGGACCTTCCTTTTTTTTTTTTTGGCGTTTTTATGAAAAAAAGTCGGACCCCCCCACTAAATGTGAACCTAGATCCGCCCATGTAATTCCGTTTCGATATCGTGGGTGCACCCCGGGGAGATACGCCTACTGTACCTTTAAGTTGAACATGACTATAAACCTGTACACCTTTGGTAAATAAAAACAAATAGAACTGCTAATAAAACTTACCCGCCCATATTATTTTCAAATTTCCTTGCATTTTCTTCAAGACGCACACATACATTTATTTCATCCCTGTCGTGCGTTAGAACTTGATCTCCAGCAGTAGTGGCGCCGGGTTGTCCGTTACTTGTAACACCTTTCACACGGAAATTAGAAGGAGGCTGTCTTAAAAAATCCGACATTAAAGCAATGCTAACCATGTTATTGTCCGGAATGATTAAGGGCCCACTAACATCCGGCCTAGCCCCATCGTGTCCATTCTCAGGTACGGTCGTAATCGTTACATTACTGCTAGTTACTGCGATTGTTGGTGGTGCGTCCGTTTTCTCCTCTGCCATCATTCGTTAATTTAGCACTATTTTAAACACGTATTAATTGTATTCGTTATTTACCTGATGAAAATACAGAGAAATTATGCCTACTAATATATGAAATATATAAAGGCATATACTACAGGCTTTTTGCTCGTATCCAGTTATTCACGCCATAATCTGCACAATACTTATCCTTATCCAACAATTGTTAAGCAAATAGTAAACACAATACAATTCACTCCAAACAACCACAACGCTACAATGTATGCGACAGACCGTATGAAAACCTTTTGAGGGCGCTACACACCAAAAATTGCGACGTGAGAACGCCCTCATTCCTCCATTTTGGGGCCACACAACTAAACCAGAAATAACATAAGCTTTGAGGCTAAATTCTCGACCTCATGTTATTTAAAAATTCATAACTTCGTAACAAGAGGTCGAGTAACATTATTTTTTTCTGGAAAATGTTTTTAATAGACTATTCTACACCACTATATTATTGAAATAAAATTGAAAATTTGTTTCAACCTCGGAATTCAAGATGGGAAAAGAAGAGCCTATGTAAATAGTGCATCAACATAGGCCTACGTACCGCAGCAGCCTAGCTAGTACTAGTAGTAAGTTGTGTTTCAGTTACCGTATGACTTACGGACTTCTCTTGTTATACTAAAAGTTTTTTAGAGATCCTAGCTAGAGGCTTGCCGCAAACACCCGTTTATTATACGAATTTCAAAGTTGTCTTGTGTGTAAGCACGGAGTTGTTATAGTGGGTGTAAGTAAGGCCTAGGCAGCGTTGCTACGCTTAACAAATGCAATCATGTACGCCTAGATAAAGGTGCTACGCCAATCTGGTCAAGCAAAGACTACATGTAATATAATTAATTATAACAGACTATTGAGAATCAATTTTTTCTTGAATTTTACTATAAACTTTCAAATATGCATTAATTAACAGATATTTACTATCAAATGACATAACATTTTGTTTTTAATATTTTTAATAATTTTTTACAATTGCCTGTTATTTATACAATCGCCACACTGTAGAATAGGCGTTCATATTATGTCTACAGCTCAAAGCTGTATTTTATTGCTGTCTTTTTACATTTTATTTATCATTTGCGATTGAATAAATTGTATTGTTCCATATTATGTCTACACCTCAAAGCTGTATTTTATTGCTGTCTTTTTACATTTTATTTATCGAAGCAAACGTAGAATCTTCATTTTCTGTTATTAATATAGGCATATATATAATATATATATATATATATATATATATATATATATATATTATACACACATATATATAGCATTATAACAACGCGATTTAGAGTTTATCTCCATCATTATTTACTTATATGCCAGGGCCAGAATAACACAGGCTACAATGGGGAAAAATAGGTAATGAACCCCAGGAAATATCACCGAAAATGTCTTATGTTTTAGCCACATAGTATTCAGGCCCACTTGCAATTACAACCCCAGCCCCACAGCACAGATCTTGTCCTGTCAACGACGGCTGATAAGAAGAAGGCGTATCATATTTATCTCTATTATTTGCAATGCATCAAGGACTAATGCTGCCTAATACGCATGCGCATGAGTGTGGAAGATTTAGATGCTTTAATCGGATTTGAATACCAGTAAAGCCTCAATGGCCTTGTCGGTTAAGGCGTCTGCAGCAGAAGGTCCTGAGTTCGAATCCTAGTTGGGGCACCTATTTTTTCATACTCTTAGATTCCTCTTTTTTAATGTGTAAAAATGTATTTATATATATTTTCAGCATTACCGCAAGGCGGTTTAGATTATAATTGCATTTAATTCCCAATTATTTTATGTTAAAAGATAAAGTTATACAGGCCTGTATTATAGGTCTATGTATTAAAATGGTAAGGAAGGGCAGTTTATGAGTGTACAACAAAACACCCCAACTGGGATTCCAACCTGAATTTCCTGTTGCTGTACTATACAGAGTCTTATCCAACTGGACAACAAACGCCACCGGATATCGAATAGTATTTATTTAATTTTGTATCACGTACTCAATTGTTTTGTCCCCTGATTAGACAATATCACCTGGAAAAAACTATGAAAAAATAATGCGAACCTAAACTCGAACACTATATATTTATAACAATTTCCCCGGAGTGAATATTAAATTCAAAGCTAGATCAAACTCTTCAGATTTAGAGGGCCATGAAGAATCGTGCTCCAACCAAAACTCATGAATATGTAAATTATACAGCTGTAAACTTTAAGAACAATTCAATGAATGCTCATCCCAAATTATAATTGTCTCCTAAATGAAATTGTTTTGACTGATGTACATTTTAGATTTTACTTGCTTAGTGTTTAGGATTTTACTTCTTTCATTTAGTAAATATTTGTATTGATTGTTTCATTCTTTTTTGTATGTTTTTTTTATAAGGATGCACCATCAAACTGATGTGTTTCGTTCATTTTAAAGCAATTCCAACAAATAAATCTGAAATCTGAGGTCAAATCACCACCGCTTGTCTTTACAATTGTCAGATTGTGTGCTTATAGTCTGCACATGCTCATTGCTTTCCCTAGCAGCATCATCCCTTGGACTGAAACGATTAAGCTTCCTTGCTAGCTTTATGCCGACAACTGTGGCTATACTGACAATAACGAGTAGGCAAATGTTGACGACTAGGACAGTTATGTCGAAGAATAAATCCGGGCGTCTATCGTCAGTGTCTGCAAAGAATAGTAAGTAATGATTAAGTACAATTAAATGACGTGGAAAAACATATTTACTGTCTCTTATACA